TGAACAGCCTAGTCCATGTCCTTTTCTGACAGCCTTTCTACCTACGTGGTCTCCGTTACGTACCATCAGTTCCTCTATCCCCTGGTCTGTGCAGCACAGCACGGAGCCTGGGGCTGCCCACAGAGCCCTCTGCCCACACCTGCTACAGCCGTGTCCCATCACCGGCACCTTCTTGTTCTTCTTGGTTTTGAAGTTGCAACGTGCAGCTCCGAGGTACGTTGTCATTTAGAAGCCGTGGCTAAATACATCTCTGACTGACAACTATGAATAATTCCGCAGAGCCCCTAAACTTCCAGGCATTTCACTCTGAAGCTCATATAATACAACAGAGCTGCTCTCTCATGTTTTTCATCTTTTATATTCTCCAAAGAGTTGAGATACAGTTATGGAACAGGTTAATGTATTTTCCTCTGAAAATAATGCTGTGGGAGCCTGTGCACGGTTACTTGTATGTGTGGAGAATAAAGCTGACAATCCAGAGAAGAAAGTCATGAGCTTGATAATCACCATTATTTTGTTTCACGTTTTCAGCATGTTCATGTCCATGTCCTTCCAAGGAGGGCCGGAGACTTCAGAAGGAATGACGATGTCTACGAGGAGGTAAGGGCTGCACTCCATTTCTTGTTCAGAGTTGGATTTGCTGTTAGAAAATCACCTTAATGATACAGGCCGTGCCTTGAGTGGAGGTGGTTAATGAGGTCTCTGAAGCTTTATTGGTTGCAAAGAGCCTGTGGCAGCACCAAGCCCTATGCCGAGATTTCCTTGTGAGCTCTGGATCAAGCTGTGGTCACACAGGGTCCCGAGGGAGGATGCCGTGGATGTCTTTGGTACTTCAGTCTGTCACCACACATGGAGCAAGGTGACATCTCTACCAATAGTTGTGTTCTCTTATTTTGAGGGCGTTGGGAAAAAGGGTGACCACACAGTTAGCCTGGCATGCAGGGAGCATGTCCTACTCCATCTGCCAGCCTGGGGTGCCAAACCTCCTACTTCCAACAAGGGAAAACACAGGCGGCTCGTTACAACTCAATCACAAATTGCCTTCTGGCCTGCTTTTTGTAGGGCTCTCCTCATGCTCTGGACAAATCACATTGTAGCCCCAAAGATAAAAATTAAAGAGCAACTATGCATATAGATGTAATATATGCATGTGCGCAGATTGTACGGCAGAGCTGGGGACATCAGTGTGACTGAATTACTGGCTTTTGTTTAAATGAACAATTGTACTGGCATTAACAAAAAAATTTTCCCTGGTTTGACAGCTGTCACAATGAGTTAATGAAAAAATCTCACTATTGTTAGATTTACGTATGGTTCTTAGTGGGTTTGGTAGGATCCTCTATCTCAAATATGACATCTCCTTCTCTTTCTGAAAGTAATTAATATAAACTTGTTCAGTGCTACTGCAATACCATCTGCTTGAAGGAGAATTCATGACATTTCTGCTTTTGTATTTTTTCCTTTGTGATATATACATGATGACAACTCCCCACTTGCAAAAAAAAAAGGTAGTGTATTTTAAAGTTTTTGAGTGACTTAACTATGCAAAAGTGGTGAAAAAAGTTTGTTATTAACCAGTTAACGTGAAGCGTAGAGACTGAGAACCCCACTAATAAGGGTAAAACCTTATAATGAGATGGCTGAGCAAGGAGATCAAATGAAAATACATGGTGGCCATCTTATGTGCTGCTGTAGTTAAAAGCAGTTAAGTGAGGCAACTTGAAAGTTAACATTTTTTCCTTTTCAAATGTGTTAAGTGGTTTTAGATGCTGCACCAACCCACAAACTCTGTTTCCATTTTTGTCGTATTTACAATTCCATTTTCTTCTCTTTTAACACATTTATTTCTCCCTTGTTATATGTAAATACAAACAGGCAAAAGTCTGCTAATGAACTAGACTATACATCGAATGTTGTTAAATGAAAAAGGGTGACAAATCGGTGAAAAATATTTTTATCTTGTCATTTTCAGTTACAGCAATTGTAGGTGTTGCTTTTAGCAGACATAGGAAGCAAAAATATTTAGACACAGATGTGATAATATATCTTTTAGCAGAAGAATGTAGAGCCTCAGAGTCTAACCAGCTATTCTTGAATACCACAGAGCTAACTTATGCTTTTGTACACACTATAGCTGATAAAGATTTCATTTTTTTTTAGGATGCTAGGGAAAAAAAAAACACATTTGACGCTATAAAAAGTTTGATGCAAAGTTCTATCACTGGCTGGATTGGAGGATGGAGGGGCTTAAGCAGTGTACTATCATAACTGGATAAGTCTAGTTTGAAAAACACAAAACAGACAAATTATTGAAAATACAGCTGACTGGAAATCATTTGGAGCTTACGTCAGTGAGGCAAAAATCTTTTGATATAATGCCTCCCTGTGTTTTACCAACAAGACATACCCCTTTGTCAAGAAGATCTTGTAAAAGATTTAGGAAGATATGTAGATCATGGCAGGGCAACAGGCTGAAAATCTATGAGGGACAGAGTACCATTAGGTGAGATGTAGGTGCTGGAGAGAGCTTTAAATCCATCGTCCGTGAAATCTGTACTTAGGACAATCCAAAACCTCTTTGTAAACAATGCTTCATTTCCATATATTTGAGTGATAGACGGAGTTGTAGTTTAGGGAGCAAAGACCACCTTCTAAAATCATCCCAATAGCCTTTTCCTTGTAGCATGTGACATGGAGGCTGATCAGCCCCCCTTAATCAATTCGTGTAATTGTGTAGCACACCCAGGCTAAATTTTGCACGTTGTGGTGCCTGGTTTAACTACCGCAGCTACAGGCTTTACAGCTACTGGGCGTAATTTTCACAGATTCTGGATCTCACCTCTGGTTCAACACATCTGTCACAAACCCCTATCTATCTGTAAATGCCTTTGAGCTCTCCAAGCTCTGCAGTTGTCATCTGTATATGCTCAGCAGATTGCTGACAAATCCCATTGCTCTGTGAGCGTTTGACAGTGAAGGGAATGCCCAGATGTTGAGACATCCGTCCTCTTAGGAGACTTCTAGAGTTGAGACAGATAGAAAGTACTTGCAGTCTCTTACCGTGTGCTTTATGTCTCTCGTTCGGTTTGGGAGCGACCACCCATCTGATTGAAAAGACAGAAAAAAGCACATCAGGTTGATCCCTGCTTAGTCTGTTTACTGGGCTCTGGTATCTTCAGGCTTTTTTGGCTATGAAGCTCTGACATAGCCTCATCTAAAGCAACTTTTAAGTGTAAAGAGTATACTTAAAGGTGAGGTATGTCTTTAGCATTTGGTTTTTAATAAGGTTGCTGATGGACACTAATGCCTTCTGGTTTCTGGATATATATTTAGAACTTCAATACTGGAACATTAATTGTAGAAGGGATAAAAGAGGGGCTGACACCTATTCCACAGCACCTTCTCTAAGGCATTTCTTGGTGGAATATGTCACTTAATATTTTAGGTTTCTGTACCTCGGTGCATATGAAAGAAGTCACTGCATGATTTTTCTAAGGTACAGAGGGAATGCTTAATAATGAAAAAAAAAATCTGCATTGGATGTTTTAGATGTATTTTCTCTGCACCTTTATGGGGCTATTTCTTGGGAGGATATTTCCCAGGGAGTGTTAGCTATCCACCCTCTGCGCTCACCGCAGTGAAAAGCTAAAGGTATAATTTTCAGTTCTTGTATTTTCCTGCAATTATTTGAAGCCTAATCCTGCAAGCATGCACATGTCAGATTTAAATTGGTCTTACAGGCTTTTTTAAAAGATCAGGTCCTTCATGTTTTACTATTGCTGGATTACTTTTCTCATCTCCAACTCGAGTAGTTCTTATTCATTGATTCACTTTTTTTTTTCTTGGACAGCAAAACTCTGGCAGCTAAACGTTAGGAAAACTTCTAATCAGAATACCTCTTTATTCCTCTATGTTTTCTGTTTGGTTTGAAATAGAATAATATATTTACATTTATTAATCAAGGAAATTAAAGGCCTTCCTACCAAGGAGTTTCCTGCTTTGAAGTAGACAAGTTTTTTTGCTCTTGTAAGGGCATGTTCTCAGTAACTGGTAAGTATTTGGTATTAATGGAAGTCTTTACTGTAGAATGGCACCCTGTGTTGTTGCAGTCAGCACAAGCACTGCAGAGTTGTTGGAGGTCATCGTGTCCAAGGTGTTCAAGAACATTATCCTGAAATGTCTCAGCAGTTTCATACACTCAGCCATCTGTGGGCAGTCCTCATTCAGTGTGTGTTTGAAAAGTCCATAGCACAGCCTGTCCCTGGTCTCCACCGAGTGGTTAGCCATTACCGCAATATAAATAACATTCATCATACTTTAGGTTGGCAGGTAATAGCCGTACTGGGCCAGAGAGAGTGGGGCTTTCTCAGAAAGGAAGACTGAATCAAAAGTCTGCAATACCGCTGTTATGAGTACTCACCTCAATAAGTTAATTTTGAGGCTGACAGACTCAGATGGGTGAGGGCAGCCTGGCCTCTCAGCAAAACCCTGAGCATCCCTGGCGTGTTTTGTGGTGCAGACCCCTGTTCTCCCCAAACGCTGTGTTTCACTTGGTGGTTGCAGCCTGCTGTAACAGATGCAGCTGCAGCAGTGATGCACATCCAGGGCTGTGCATGCAGGGCAAAGAGTGCCCATCCCCTCGCCAGCTTTCCTTTCACGCCCACCTTGTTTCCTTGCCTGTCTTCAGTTCCCAACCTAGGCTGGAGAGCACTGAAAATACTGTAAAAGGGGAAAGTGTGAATGAGAGAGGTTAACCCAAACCCATGTGTCTCCATCTGCCAGCTGCCTGCCAAACCTGCATCACGGACCTCTTGTAATGAGCCTGGGTGAAACTTCCTAAGGTGAATTCTTCAGTTACTTAGAGATTTTGTAAAATGCAGAAGCCAGCAAAAGAATTCGCTTCATGCTGTCCTCCTTCCCCTCTAGCATTCAGGCGTGCAGAGAGAGAGACACTTAGGGGAAGATATTTTGACTTGGTGATCTCATTCAGCATATTATGTTAAATCATTTCAGCAAGAATATCTATTAGTAATCATTTCCAGTTCCAGGGAGGATGAAGGAGGCATTTTGGCATGTGACTCAAGAACCTGCTGGGCTGCTTCCTCAGGCTGGCAAAACAGGGGAACCGTGGTGAATTCAGAAGTTTAGTCAAACAAGCCTGAAGTTTAATTCTCCATGAGTGGCTTTGACTGTGACATGTCTTCGCTCTGAAGTCTTGCATGCTGCTGGGCACAGAGCCTGGTTGGAGGGCTTGAAACCTGCACAGCTGCACTGAACTGTTTGGGCTGCTTCCTACTTAAGGATAAGGTATATAATGAAAAGATAAATAAGGCCTAATCCAGGTCCTGCTAGACAAAATGGAAAGATGCCCAACAGCTTCTGTGAGCATTGGATTGAACTATTCATGAAAATTAATGGCATGCAGAGCTAATAGGCTGTTCCTTGGCCTCAGAATCACATTGCACCTTCTGGGAACATATTGTAGCCTGCTGGTAGATCAGTCTGCTGCATTTGAACTCCCTTGGGGCCAGACTCTGCTTTCTTTGCACCCTGCATGGGTAAACCCATGGAAAGGGAAGGAAGCAGCACAGAATCTAAAC